CCAAAGTACACAGGCGTGGGCAGAAGGGGCACCACTTACACCACGGGGGGAGGCACCCAGGGCCTCTGGCTGGGCGGTGCTGGCCACACCTGGCCAGGTAGAGCTCCCAGGTTCATTGTATAAAAAGCAGAGAGCTCTTGCTGGCACTGAACTCACGCTCCACATGGAGGCCAACGTGGCCTTGGCAGGACCGGCCGTTCCCACGTGAGCCTGCCGACACCTCGGGGATGCAGCTTCTGCTGTGGGGAACTGTGAGCACCCTGGGGTGGGTAAGACAACCTTATAAATAACACCTGAGTGAGTGGGGGGTTATCCTGGGGCCTTATTTCCCTTCTCTTTCCTGTCTCTCAGCTTCTCATTCTTGGGGTAACACCTCTCACAGTCTGTGCTGGTTTGTGCCCAGACCTGCCTGTTCTGCTCCTGCAGCAGCAGAGACTGCCAGGCTCAGGTCCAGGTGTCTGCACTGCCGATGTGCAGCCACCCACTGATGTGCATCCTCCTCCAGGAAAGGGGGGTCTCGTTGGCCAGGGTGCATGCAAGGTCCTGGGGAGGGACAGGATTGGGGCAGCACTGAGGCTGGTACCCCAAAGTCAGGCTACTGAAGATCATCACAACAACAGACAGGTGGATCAGGCTGCTGAGCCTAAAGTGTCTCAGGTGGATGTGGACTGGCAACAGAAGGGTGAAGTATTTCTGGCTTGATGGGCCCATGACTCCTCAGGTCACCAGGGAAGAGATGCAACACACAGATGGGCTCATGATCAGGGGGAATTAGCCATCTCCCAGGTTATCCATAACTGGGGGTCAGGGGCTGCAATCAAGCAGGGCCAAGCAGGTAAAGCCTCTGTGGTGTGGGGGGTGATGGTTGAAATAAAAACCTGGGGAGGCCTGGCAGAGTGATCACAGCACAGCACATCACACTCCCCAAACCCGCCAAGGGAAGTGCTGTGTGCTGACCATGGTGCAAACAGTCCCTGGGGGGCTGGAGACACATCCTGTGCCTCACAGCCCTGCCTGGAACACCATCCTGGGCCGGGAAAAGCGAGTCCTGGGGCGACGTGGCCTCCCAGCAGGAACTGAATCAGACAGTGGGGCTCATTTCAAAAGAGCCTCACAGGCACCTGGGCACAGAGCTCAGGATGCAGTGGGTGGATCATATCCCCTGTCATGCACCAGCCCTTGGGAAAGTTGTTGTGGTTTTGCCCAGCCAGCCAGGCCCTGGGGCTTAGGATGGTTTTGTCCAGGTTGATTTCTGGAGAAAAAGCCAATCGAAAGTTCAGTAACGCCTTTGCCAATTACATATTTAAGAAAACGGAAGAGAAGGCTGGCTGCACAGTTGAAATTGGGAGCTGTAGCCTTGTAATAGAGGCGGCGGGCCCCGAGGTGGGCTCAGGCCCCCTCCACCCATTGCCTGGGCTGGGGGCAGGTGTAGCGGTGATGCCCCCCTTCTCTCTTGTAAGAGAGCGGAAAAAAAAAAAAAACTTTAAAGGACTGTCTACCTGGGTGAAAAACTGCTGCAGAAGAATTCCAGCAAAAAGATAAGGGACCTCCAAGGTCAAAGCTGGCAGCTGGAGGAGAGAGAAGAAAACTTTGAAGGAGGGGGGCTGTTTCCCCCTCCTTTCACTCTCTTCCTTCAGCAGGGAAAAGACTGAAAAATAAATCCGTGCTACCTTTGGAAGATTGTTGGAGTGAGGAGGCCCCCATGCGGCTCACAGATGAGCTTGTGGATGTACCAGGAAGCTGCTGTTCCTGCCTTAGGGCTGAGAAAAACCA